GGTAGTCGGCTCAACACCTTGTCCCCCAATATCTAAGTCATGATAAGCCAGGTAGTTACAAGGAAGCACTGGTGTACCAACTTGGAATGCTAGAAAATGAACTTGAATTTCAGTTCGTCGATGTATCATCATGATGTTGTCGAATTGTTTTTAGTTTTCAACTCATCAAGGTTTACAGTGACAATAATTTGCTAAAACTTGCACCATTATTCAAGATGTGTTAGATAGATAAGAGATCTTGTACTTGCATCCCTCCCTGTCCTTACATTTTTAGAAGCACCAGCTTGTAGATATGAATAAAACACCAAACCTGTACATTCTACTGCGAGTGATATGTAGCATATGCATTTGGTTCATTTCTTGACAACGTGGATGTGTGTGAATTATGACCTATTTTATGATACCGTGGTGTCTGGCAATCCGTTACAACGGAAAAGTTTACCAAGATTTAAGGGATTTTGTTTGTGAACAGTCAGACAGCAGGGATAATTTCAGGGCATTTTGAGTCGGTTTCTATAAACACAAGATGTATGAAGCCATTCAACCGGCTGAAAAAATTAATGTACATTTGTACCCATCCATAGTTTTTCAACTAAGTTTCCTATTGGACTAAGCCCTATAAGTAGGTGTAGACTACCAGGTTGGAGCCCACGAGACAATAGTAACCGATGGTTAGAGACTTTGATTAATAGGCCTCAAAATCGTTTGCAATGGTGCAGATGCATCCACTCTCTATGTTCTCTGAAATTCTAATCTTCTGAATACCTCATCGCCTCAGTCTTTTTTTAAATTTATCTCACTGAATTATACTTCTTGAATAATATCTTCGAACTCTAGTCTTCTCCATTACTGCTAATACTTCTACTACCTCTACTACTATGGTATTTGAATTGACAATTGCGTCTCTGTGCTGACACAGTATGGCAACTTGAACGCATGTACGAAGCTTTACGTTGTAACGGACTGACTGTCTGTTGTGTTGGAGAATCCTGATCAGAGGCCTATTTTACTCTACGAAAGGGTAACAGGCATAAGTTAGACACTAACACCTTTGAATACCACCAGCTCAGTGGTCTAGAGGTTAAGAGTTCGCGCTCATGACTGAAGTTCCTGGGTTTTGAATCCCGCGAGTAGCAGGAGTTATGTATGCGCGCTGATGATTAGTCCCATACCAGGACGAAACGGCCGTCCAGTGCTTCAAGGTTTCTAATAGTGAGTCTAACAATGATTGATTAATGATTTCATTCTGTTGTAGAAACACTGATCTCTATAACTCTAATGTTATCAGTACTACCGAATTTCTATTTAAAAACCGTATCTTTCGTTAGCATAAATAAGTACATATACACACACACTGAGAGAATGAGAGAGCAAATTTTATGCACTTATGAAAGGTATGGGCCACACCCACAAAAAAATATCCACCTATTTCCTTAAAAAAATATTGTCTAAAAGTATGGTAATTACTTTATTTTTACTGAATTTATTAAAGTTCATCAGTACATCTAATTGGCGAGTAATTATCATTATTATGTGATCGTAAAAAGTGTGATATCGAATTTATCATACTTGAAAGTACAAGTTTATGTACTGGTGGGCTTTAAATTACATGAAATCAATCAATTACAGTCCCAAATATCAATCAGAAGAATCAAAAAACCAGTACAACTATATCAAACTTTACCCCCATTGCACAAACCAGTGACTATCTCGACTCAGTAGCTTAGCAGATAACGCGATGTCGTTTGATGCGAACAGTAACGGGTTTTGATTTTCGGAGTGAACGTCAATTCTTGGATTTAGTAAGTGCATTCAGCTTCAAACGAGTTCCAAATAGGACGGACGATATACGCGTGCTGGATTCCACTGTTAGCCAATATTCACCTCTACTGATGATTCTTGTGACTTAACGATAATATCGAAGCCATCCCCCACACATAATGCACAGATGCTAAAGTGACTGATCAAGTTCAGTCCTAACTATCAATGGGAAGATAGAAACAACTTATACAAATGAATTATTGTATATATTAGTACTTGATTTTATCATGCTTCTTTATACTTCGAATATCATTGTAGTCACGTGATTGTTTATACTGTTGACACAAACATTCACACCTTCATGTTCATTACATCTTAAAAATCGAAGGTTCAGTCGACTCATTCTTGAACGATTAATTAATCATTACGTACCAATCCTGTGTGTCTTAGGGTGAAGTCGTACTGCTGACTGTAGAGAGGTGTGTGACAGTAGTAAGGTGTTTCCCTCGAACAACCAGCATCTGCAGTGATACCACCTTCTCACAACAGAAGAGAGGGGTTAGTTAAGGTCGACCCTGAAAATGTCACACCTCACCTTTCCTCACGGACTTCCGTCTCCGGCAGTAAGGCCACCATAAAATCTTCCCATAAAAAGGCCTCAAGCAGTTGACCCTTGGGCTCTGCGGTCACGCTCACACGTCGCTCAGACCAACGCTAATCTGATTTCCTTTTCAGGTTCCTCAAGAAGTACCGTTCCACTGAGTGGGAAGCCGGGTAGTGACAGCTGTCCTCATACCCGTTAAAGCACACGGGACCAAGTCGATCACAATCAGATCCTCCCTACACTTAAAAACTGTTTCATTTCCACGAATAACCCTTCTTTTGTTCCTTTATCACGTCGCGCCGCTAATGCAAACGTTTTCAGTACGTGAAACGTTATTCTCGGTCCCCTGAAACCCAGTTCTGAATTGCATGTTGGAGCATTTAATGTCCGGACCTTGTGCCGAATAGGACAACAAGCTTCCTCAGCTAGGACTTTAAAATCTCGCGCCATCGATGTATGCTACGTCTCCAAGACGCGTATACAGGCTCCGAGTAGAATTATTAATTTTTATTTCACCTTGTCCAGATAAAGAACTAACTCGGTTTACGCTTCGTTTATCTGGAAGCCCTGCTGCTGCTTCCTGTGGCCCCTCTGTCGTAGGTATAACATTGAATCCTAGGGTAGAACTAGCCCACCTAGACTGGTTCCCAGTAGACAGTCACTTATGCACTGTCTGACTAAACGGGACTGTAAGAACTCGTAAAGATAGGGACACTCGCCATTGCCTATTCATCATCTCTGCCTAGGCTCTCACTGAATGCAGCTCAGACAAGATAAAAGATGAGTTTTACAGAAACCTTTCTAACCTTCTTCAATAGATTAAGCGCTCTGTGAAGGTGTGGCAACTTAAACTGATGTACATACATACGTAAGTACGTACATATTGTCTACGTCAGAACGTAATCAATATTACTAATTTTTTTGTTTATTTGTTTATCTGTGTAGATGGTACATACTTGAAAAATGAAGGCATCAATTTTATGACACATTCATCTGTTATACAATCTACTGATTTACTACAATCTTCCGTTCTATACAATCATCATCATCATCATCAAAATGGTTTTTACATTTCTACCATGCATCATCATCATCATCATAATTCATTCGGTGGGGGAACAGCAACAGCATACCCTAATCCTCCTAATGATCATCTAGCCTCGGTTTTAACTGGTACAATACCAACAGATTTTATATCAAATCGTACTGTATTCTGTCCACATCTTGGTTGTGGCAAAACATTTCGTGATACAGCTGCCATGCGTAAACATTTACATACACATGGACCACGTGTTCATATTTGTGCTGAATGTGGTAAAGCATTTGTTGAATCGAGTAAATTAAAACGTCATCAACTTGTGCATACGGGTGAAAAACCATATCAATGTGCATTTGATGTAAGTAAATTATAAAATTTACTGTTTTTTTTTTCATACTTTTATGGGAACTCGAGTTTTTTTTTGTACAGCAGAGGTGTGTGGGGTAATAAAAGAATGTGGGAAGAGTTAGTTGTGAAGATAAGGTGGGGGGATGTTAGGGTATGTAGGAAGGATTTGATTGTGACCAATTTGATCTCGTATGCTGGTACGGGTATGGGGGCGGATGTCACTTCCCGGCTGCCTACACCGTGGAAAGGTGTTTCTTGGGGAACCTGAAAAGGAAGATGATAGATTAGTGTTGGTCTTAAAGACCTGGGAGCGTGACCGCAGAGCCCAAGGGACTACTGCTTGAGGCCGGTCACGCACGACCTTTTTATGAAAGGTTTATAGAGTATTAGCTCCGCTCTTTAAAAGCCCTTACTAGGCAACCCTTACCGCCGGAGACGGAAACCCGTGAGGTGAGGTAAGGTGTGACATTTTTAGTGTCGACCTTTTCTAACCCTCTCCTTCTTTGTGAGAAGGTAGCATCGCGGAAGATGCTGGTTGTTCGAGGGAAACAACTTACTGCTATCACACCCCTCTGCGGTCAGCAGTACGACTTCGCCTTCAGACCTTCAGGAGCTGCTTTTAGTCTCATCGTTCTCCAATCGACCTGCCTGGTATGGTAGAAACATATGTTCCAGCCAATATAGGTCGGTTGGGTCATCACACGATAGGCAAGCCTGACCACCACGTCAAGGTGACAGCTACAGTCAGACAAGTGAACTGAGTTATGTTGGTACATGTAGGCTACCTGGTTGAAGTCCGCCAATCGAAAGTAACCGATGGTTAGAGACCTTGAACGACATGGCTCAAAATTGTTTGCAATGGCGCAGGTGCATCCACTCGTTTTGTTCTCTCAAATTCTAATCTTCTGGATTCGTTAGTACCTATACCTTTGTCTTTCTAAATTTATCTCACTGAATTATATTTCTTGAATAATATCTTCAAATCCTAATCTTCTCAATTACCAGTAATACTTCTACTATCTCTATCACTATGAGATTTGAATTGACAATTGCGCCTCTGTGCTAATGTGGTATGGAACCTAAACTGATGTAATTACGTACGAAGTTCTACGTTGTAACTGACTGACTGACAATTCATTTTATGAAATGTTTTTTTGTTGGAGACATGTTCAATGAAAACAGAGTCTACACTTGTAAAGACTTGATTGCCAAGTAGAATAACTGTTTAAAATTGAGAGAGATCGTTCTAGACATTTGTCTTGTCCTAGGATTAGGACTCTTTAGACGCAGAAGTTTTCCTATGATATACTTTAACATCTGCCCTGGTACAATAGAGAGTAGAGAAAGTTCTCTATTCTTCTTAAACTGCTCTCATATGTCCACGTGTATATAGCTACTGTCAGGCAAGTCCCACTCACCTGCTTGTAACAAGAATTTTGTTTATAGTATTGAGAGGACGAAAAGCGAATGTCCTACCAGGGTTTAAACCGGGTTGGTGTGCACAGAGGAACGACTTAGGAAAGTTGGAAAACCTATTCTATTCCAGACCACTGATGCATATGCGCTCCGTGATCCTGAAGGAACAAATAGTGTTGACCACCATAAAAATGAATCTCGTGATATTGTTCCACTGACTTGTGGATTAGACCTATCGATCAAAGACTGATAGAGTGGCTCCCTAAGGAGAACCACTTGCATCGATTTGGATATCCGGTCAGTATTCCAGCAGCCCATACACACACTAACTGATTAATTTTTGTTTAGGTGCCCCTTTGTACACCAATGTTTATATTAATAACAAGAGATCCGAATTTATGTGTTTAAATGATATTTTACATGTAGATCACTAGTTAAGATGTAGTCACTACTTAAGTAGTAATGTTATCAATTCATGTTGTACTCTCAACCTCAACTACAATAGTTTAATTAAACCTTTTTGTAATAAATATGTATTATAACCTAAATGTTTTGACTGACCATGCCTATGTTAACTGTTGTGATATGAGGTGTTCGTGCTAACGCTCTCTCTCTCCTCACGTTAAAGGCAAGAATGGAAGAGGAAGTAGTCTGTTTAGCTACCGACTAATATATATATATATATATGGGACACCCGAATGAGCAACGCTGTTATTAGGAATCGGGTGCTAGGTAAGAATGGCAGATGATGAAGTGTTGAAACTTCATCAGTTGAGGTGGTTGGGACATGTGTTGCGTATGCCTAACCACCGACTGTCTCGACGAGCTATGTTTTGTGGTGTAAGAGTAGGGCGGAAGAAAGTTAGGGGCGGCCAAACCAAAACATGGCACAAATCCATGAAGTCATTTACAAGTGGACTTAGCCATGTCGGTAGTTGTCAACTACTTGGTTGCGGTCCGCGAGATGATAATAATCGATGGTAGAGACCCTGAACGACATGGCTCAAAACCTTTTGCAATGGCGCCGGTGCATTTATTCTTTGTGTTCTCTCAAATCCTAATCTTGTGGATTCTTCAACACCTCTAGTTTAGTCTTTCTAAACTTTTCTCATTAAATCATACTTCTTGAATAATATCTTTTAATCGTAACCTCTATGACTACTTCTAATACCTCTACTACCTCTTCTACTATTGTATATGAATTGACAATTACATCTCTGTGCTGATGTGGTATGACAACGTGAACTGATTTACTTACGTACGAATCACTACGTTGCATCTGACTCTGACTGACTGACTGACTACAGGTGTTGAGAGTACAGAAATATTTCTACATTCGTATAAAAACTTTGTGATGAAGTTTCATTTTCTGAGCTGGCTGGATGTTTCGGTTGTTGAGCCTTTCATCATTGTTTTTCTTATGAGAACAACATGATCATCAGCACAAACTTCAGGTAGAGAAGTAAAATATTCGAAGTCGTTCAGAACAACGATGAAAGCTCTACACCAGTAAAAACTTCCATATCATTCGTTTGACATACCTTACCGAATTCTTCTATCAAATATGATCTTTCTTTTTTCCTCCCTTCCTTTTTTAGGGTTGTGGTAAACGTTTCTCATTGGATTTCAATCTTCGTACACATTTACGTATTCATACTGGTGATCGACCATATCCATGTCCACAACCTGGTTGTAGTAAACGTTTTGCACAATCAACCAATTTAAAATCACATTTAGCAACACATAGTAAAATTCGTGCAACGCATCAGTCGAATTTCATGACTAACAGACATCATCAATTCAATACAACACTGATGAATAATAATACTGGTGGAGGAGGCGGAGTTAGTGCCGGCATTGGTTCAATTCTATTCCGTACCACCGCCGCAGCCACTCCTACTACTACTTTTGCTAATATCAATCCTCCCCCCACGCCTACACCACGTAATCAATCGATTTCAATTAATGATTGTATTTTACAATCACCAATCCATTATTCTACTTTAATTCCTAATCAATATACTACTACTGGTGGAGGTGGGGGTGGTGGTGGTGTTAGTGGTATTAGTGGTGGTAATCATCGATTTCGATTAAATTTGAATTGTTTATTTCAAGAAATTCGTTTGGATAATAATTCACGAGTACAGTAAGTAGTATTTATGTATATATAATTCGTGTTTTTTTCAGGTTGTTGTACTAGTTTATGTGCGTAATGTATGCTTAAATATTTAAGTGCCCCTTTTGTATCAATGCAGAGTTTTTTGACTACCCTAAGCGACAATGCAGTCATGTTTGGGATGCGATTCTCCCCCCTCAAAATGTATATTGTTGCTTCAGGATTGGGTTGTATCGGCACCTAAACTACTGATAGGAAGTGAAGTAGTTGAGTGTATTGACCGCTTACTTCACTTATCTTGCAAGTCTCATCAGTGCTGATGGCCTGGTGTCTGATGAAGTTTCATCACGGATACAAAAGGCTTGATTAACTTTCGCCAACATACTTCATTTATGGCGACGGCAAGATAACCGTCTGCTAACTAAAGGATGATTTAACTGCGCATCAATTCACTCTGTTCTTTTCTATGGGTGTAAAACATGGTCACTGAGAAGCGACAATATACGTAGGTTATCGGTATTCAATAATAGGTATCTTTGAAGCATTCCTAGTGTATTCTGGGACAATCGAGTAAGCAATGCTGTTGTTAATAGAAAGGTATTATGTAAGGATGGTAGATTATTTGAGGTGGTCGGAACATATTTTACGAGTCCCAGACCACCGACTACGTCGAAGATCGACTCTGCCTGGTTTCGGGGGTAGGCTGAAAGGAAGCTAGGGGCGGCCAGACCAAAACGTGGCACAAATCCATGAAGTCACTGACAACTGGAATAAACCATATTGGTAGATGTAGACTACCTGGTTGGGATCCGCGAGGCAACAGTAACCGACGTTTGTAGACTTTGAATTACATGGTTCAAAATCGTTTACAATGTCACAGATGCATCCATTCTTTGTACTCTCTCAAATTCTAATCTTCCGAATTGATTCCACTGGGATATACCTTTCGAAGATCTATTTGGGCTAATATGGTGTACGTAAGTACGCAGTTCTACGTTGCAACTGACTAAAATCAATAAAAAATCGATCTGTAAGTAAAAAAAAACTGTCAAGTAAAGTACGATAAATATGCTTTGAGAAGAAGGGATACATTGGCGGAATAAAAATGCTTTTTAAACTGAAGGTTCAAAGAAAAAAAGCACATAAATTCTTCATCTGCGCTACAGTGATTGTCTGTCAATCAGCTAAAACATAAAATTTCGTACGTTTACGTTCAACAGTTCAAGTTGCCGTACCACATTAGCACAGAAATGCAATTGTCATCTCAAATCATATAGTAGTAGAGGTAGTAGAAATATTACTGGTAATGGAGAAGATTAGGACTCGAAGATATTATTCAAGAAGTATAACTCAATCAGATAACTTTAGAAAGAGAAGGGTAGAGGTGATAAAGAATCCTGACGATTAAGATTTCAGAGAACATAGAGAGTGGATGTATCTGTGCCATTGCAAACGATTTTCAGTCATGTCGTTCAGGGTCTCTAACCATCACGGACCTCAACCAGGGCGTAGTCTACATCTACCAACAAGGCTCAGTTTAGTTGTCAGTGACTTGATGAACTTGTGCCATGTTTTGGTCTGGGAGCCTCTAGCTTTCTTTCAGCCTACCCCTACACAGGGCATCATCACTCGTCGAGGTAGTCGGTAGTTAGGCATATGTGACTTATGTTTATTCAATAACAACAGTAAGATAGATTCTCTTTCGACTTACATCTCTTTCTTAAAATATTAATTCATAAGTATTATTTCAATCTTAGTTTATTCATTAGCTAACTTCTTTTATATGTTCTTTTTTGCATATTCCTAGTACTTCACCACTACTGAACAATACGACTACTACCACTACTACTACTAATAATAATAACAGTAGTAATAATGCTAATAATACAAATCATAGTAATACTACTTTATCTATACCTACATCAAGTCCAGATCAATATGAATCAGCTGATCTTATTAGTCCTCTATCACCGCTAGATTTAACTTCTTCTTCATATTGTTCTTCCATCGAATCGAATAACAGTAATTCTACATTGTCATCATTGCAAAACACTATGACAATGCCTGTCATAAAACCGAATACTTCATCCATGTGTAGTAGTATTAGTAGTAGTAGTAGTAGTAGTAGTGCAATGGCTTTAACATCAACACCGGCACAATTATTCACCAATACTACTACTAGTAGTAGTACTACAAAAAGTAGTAGTACAATGGAAAATCGATTAAATGAGTTGCATAATCATTGCACTACCATTACATCTACTACTGCTGCTGATACTACTAATATTAATGGTAGTAGTAGTATTGGTAGCAGCAATAATAGTAATAATAATAATCCTGATGATATCATATCATTATTTGAAAATCATGAAAATTTCAATCCTAATCTATACGATCACCACCAGTCATCAACAGCATCACCACCGTCATTTTTTATTCAATCAAAATCTGATCTGTTTCTCGTGAATCCTAACAATTCAATGTCATCATCAACATCAGCGGCAGCAGCGCCAGCAGCACAAACCCCACTTACTACGAAACGTTCAAGAAAATCGGTCAGTTTAATTAAACGTTCGGAATCACCGAATTTCGAAGAGTTTATCAAAATCCTTCCTCCAGCACATGAAGAAATCGATAAAATGTCCACATTGAAATCATCCTACTACCGTCGTCGAGGTCGTGGAGGTCGTCGAAATCGGCTGTTGTGTAAAACAAAATTAACTAGTAATCAATATATTTGTAAAAAATCGCCATCATACACTACCACTACTACTGCTCCTGCTCCTGCTACTACTACTACAACCACGACTACATTGTTGTCACATTATGATACTCGTTCCAAATCTCGTGATACTGCTGCTGTTGCTTCTTCTCATAAATTCTCATCGAATCATCATCGACATGATCATCATCAATCTGATCAACATCCTTGCCGTGGTGGCAGTGGTGGTCGTCGTCGGCGCCGCTGTTGTAAATTGCGGAAAACCGTGTGATACACACACGTCAATTTGTATTTTGCTTTCTGGTGTGTATGTAAATAGATATCATTTAGGTGAGTATAGATGAGATGCAACGAATGAATGAATGAGAATCAATCGATCGATAAATTCTATACCTACCTATCTAACTATCTAACTCTACCTACCTCTTTCTGATTCGTTCATTAGTAAGTATCATGAAAAGAGAAAACAAGTCAAGTAGTAGTATAATACACGCAGCAATATATAAATGAATTAATTATATGTTACTTTGATTTGTCTATCCTTTAATATCTGCTCATCAGCATTAACTTCATCCATGACGTAATATATACACATATATATATACACATGTATTTATTGCTCAACTTATTACTGATTACTATAGAGTAGTAGTATGTTGTTTCGTTTTTTTTTGACGGAGGTAATGTTTTGTCTTTGTTGTTGTCATTTGTTTGTTCGTTCGTTCATTCATGTTCTCGTTACATTTTTATCTCGTATCTCAAATTATTATACTATTCCCATGACATCCACACACACACACTCACACAATCATAGGAACTGACATCCTGTGTTGTCAGGTAAACAGCTGACTGATTGATTGATTTCTCCTGACAACAACCACTTCAAAACACCATCATCATTCCTGTGAATCGCACTTTTCTTTAATTTTGTGGGTGAGTGTGTGTGTGTGTGTAAGTTTTTCTTCTTATTCAAACGATCACCTAAACACAGTTTGCATTTATTCACTTACATCATGTGCAATAATCGTTTGTTTTTTATTTGCTAAAATCAACAATGCATTTTCATTTCGATAACAACACAACTAGTAGTAGTACACTAACGAGGCGGCGGGGGCGGTGGGGACGGGGCGTTGCGAGATGTTTTAATTTTCATGTGCAATATTTTTTACTATTATACTACAACAACTATTTACAAGAAGAAACCCGAATTAAATCATGACAAATTGTAGTTGTTGTTTGTTCCGCCAACCCCCCGCCCCCCATTAAACAAAATCGCATTTCGTTACATCATCATGCATATTATTCATGTGCAATCATGTTTGTATTTTTCGTGGTTATATTGTGAAAATTTGTTTTTGATTTTTACGTAATTTCTTTTCTCCTTTCTTGCCTTTTTATTTGCATTTTATATGAAACCAAAAACAATACTTATCATTTCAATCATTTGTACACGTACATGTACATGTACACTACTAGTCAATTATTTTGTTCACTTACTTAATTACTTACTTACTTACTTACTTACACAACTAACTGACCGACTGACTATCCTGTCATCTATATACATACATGTAATTGTGTATACTTTGTATGAATATGTTCAAATCAGGTTCAATGATTATTATTACTAGTACTATTACTCTCTCTCTCTCCCTCTCTCTATCTGTGTGTATGCGTCTATTTTATCCTATTATCAACGGATATATATATATACATATACTACTTATATTCTAGTCACATTGTTTTTAACGGAATAAATAATATTTCGTTAACACCACATCACAACCAATACATTTTTCGAACGATTCATCTATTATTATTATTATTATTATTATTTGTTATTTATATTAGAATATATATTGTCTTCTCTTTTTTAAAAAAAAAATTTTATTCTCCTCTTGTTAATAATCAATAAAAATACAGAAAGTTACTGCTATTGGAGATGTGTATAATTTTGCCACTACTACTACCACTACTACTATTAAGAAATAATAGTAGTAGTGATCGCATCAATCAATATACGTGTGTGTCTGTAGTGTGTCTACAATGCATTTCTTCTAATCTCTTTCCCTTTCCTTATTATTATTTCCTGTCTCCTTACATGTCTGTTTCACATACACACGTCAACTGGACAATATATGTGTGTGTACTTTTGCCTAGTTTGTCTGTCTATCTATCTTTCTATTAACCTGTCCTACGTATTCGTCTGTACTAGCTGATTATTCCTTCGTCCCTTACTTACTATGTTTTATTGACGATTTATTCTTACTCACGCCTTCTTGTTGGATTTTCTCTGCTGGCCTTTCTTTTTTTTTCGCTCAATGTTCTTCTCATCTCATCTCAAAGAGAAAGAGACAACACTTTCTTTCTCCTTTTAATTTTTCCCTCAAAATGATATTCATTTTATTGATCGGTTTGTTTTTTTTGGCCAAACTGAATGAGATTCGTTTTGCGCACCGTTGAATCTCCTCTTCATGTGTCTCGGCCAGTGATGATTATGTTGTTATTATGGAAATCAATGTGTGCATGTGTGTGTGTGTGTGTATGATCTATCTATCTGGTGTGTGTATGTAGGCAATTTTGTTTATGTACGACGTGTATTGTACTCATTATTATTAATATTAATATTACTATTACTGTTATTATTGAATATTGAATAATATCAAAGTATCGTCAGGTTTTGTTTGTTTATAACGATTATTCTATATATATATATACATATATGATTATTATCACTTACTTACTTACTTATCTCTCTCTCTCTCTTGATGTATTTTATCCAATATCTATCTATCTGTATGTGCATTAACGACGATCAATGTATGAAGAATATATATATATATATAACATGGAAGGTGTTGAGTATAACTCTAACTACTCACTGCCGCCTACATCCGCCCTTTTTTGGCTTTTTTTTTCATCTTTCAATCAGACGACAAAAAAGGAAGTAGGCAGTAATTGTGTACTTTTCTCTATCACGAAAAATAAGCAAATAAATTTGAATGTATTGTTTAGTAAAGTAGATTACTGTACTTACTTATTTATTTGTTTAAAGCATATGATCCCTCTGAGTGGCGATGCTCCTCCTATCGGACTAATAATCTCTGGGGAGCTACTTACTCTGTATCGCATTGTCTATCTATCTATCCTTCCCATGATCTTGATGTTGGTGTGGAAATCGCGGTGAAGAGTATGGTGTGGTTTACTGTAAGATGTTCTGTCGATTCCAGAGTCTTTTTTGAACTTTCCTCAAGCAGCAACTCCATGGTAGGTTATCGTTGATTGTGATTTACGGATAAATCTAGGGTATCTTGTATATACAAGTACTTATGAATTACTTAGTTATGTCTGTTACCCCCAATGGAGTATAGGTCGCCGACCAGCATTCTCCAACCTACTCTGTCCTGAGCCTTCTTTTCCATTTCTGTGCAATCGTTGTTCATTCTACTCATGTATTTCTCCATTTCTAGGCGTAATGTGTTCTTTGGTTTGCAGGATTCCAAGTGAGGGCTCGTCTTGTGACGCAGTTGGGTGCTTTCCTCAGTGTATGTCCCACCCACTTCCAGCGCTTCTTCCTCCGCTGAAATCTGGCTTCCTCTCACTGTAGGTTCTTGGTGACAGTGTCTAGCTGGATACAAGAGAACTATTCTAATGTTATTGTTGGAAATCCTGATATTGAGGTTGTCTGACAGATGCTTTGAGTTTCACATATTCTTCAAGTGAAGGGATGATATTCTGACTTTCCCAATTCGCGCTATGATATCTACACCAGATCTCCCACTTCTATAAATGATACCTCCAAGGTATGTGAAAGCTTCTATATGTTTCAGGGTTTCGCCATCAAATGTCTTTATCTGCACTTTTTAACTTGTGTGCAATAGGTCTGTGTCATCTGCAAAGTCCAAATCAGCCGGCTGCGTCCAGTGTGGCCACTGTATTCCACTTGAAATTTTCTTGAAATATGGAGGTCTTCATGATCCAGTCAATAACTAGGAAAAATGAAACTAGTCGCCTTTGTCTATCACCAGTCCTTGATCGGGCTTCTCTCTATGCCGCTCTATACAGTCTGGTCCCTCGTAGGAGTCCTATATGATAGTGACAATTTTCTCAGTTGCTCCATAATGTTTTCATATCCACACTGTCATTTTATTATAATCTGGCTAACTCACGCATACTGGTGATTTCTGTTTAACTGTTTGTCGAGTAATGACCCTTAGTGTTGCGTTTTATTCAGTACTCCATTGATCTTAATGCAGTCAAGCTTGTTGATTTCAAAGTTGGTTATCCGCTGAATCTTTGATTCCGTCGAGCAGCAGTTTGTTGGAAACTTTCTGGTACTAATAGTGATGTCTTACTTCTGTAGTTCTCACACTTAGACCTTCCTTCGGTATACTGATGATGAATCTCTCTTTTTAGTTTCTCATTACTTGTTCTTTATTCCAAATCTTTCTGAAGAGAACAGGAAGAGTCTTTGTAGTTGCCTCTATATCTAACTAGCTTCAATTGGTGTCATTCCCCGATTTGTCTAGTGGTCTCTCAATCAACTGAGCTCATTCCACTTTTATGAATAATGTAAAAGAAAACTGCAGCAGCACCTCCACCAGTTTCTGTTTCGAACCATGTCCGTTAACGTTTCAGGCTACTAAATCGTACCATATCTAAGATCCTGACCAAGGAGTCATGATGATGAATTGACATATGCAAGTCATATACAACTCTCTTTCATACCACACTACCATGTCATAAACTGCTACCAGATATGATATTACCGAGGGTGAAAAAAGTTCGCTCCTCTTACCAAACTATTCACGTACGACGCTTAAACCAACTCAATAGATACTAAGGATACATTAAGAGGAGTTGAAAAACCCTGATTTCAAACCGATGATGTACATAGACTACTGAATCCTTAGAAAGCGAGTGTGGTCCAGACTCACCATGGTCACCAGTTATCATGAGTCTGTGTCCCCTAACTTCTAGTCGAGGAGTTGATGGCTGACAACTCTCCAAGTATAGACGTGTGACTCATGATTTATTACGTTATACAAAAATAAACTACAAAATCATTCTATCTTAAGTTCTAGAGAATGTATTTGCGAAATTTTTATTAGCTAAGGATCCGAATAATTGGAGAACGTGGTTAAACTCTTTGTACTAGCTCCGTCAAAGTGTCTGAGCAATGCTATAACAAGAGTTCTAGGATTATTTTTCTCCCCGCGGTTTACTACGATAATGAGGTCAAATTACTAACTTATTTTACACTACGATTGAAGTCGATACTCAAAAGGTCACACTAAACAACATACATGATTTACGACCAAAACAGAGGTTTAGAGTAAGCTGTTGATAATAACTCCCTGTTTATCCATAGTCAATGACCAATCACAATTTCAGTGATGTACGACGAAGTCCGGGTCAATACTGGGCAAAATCTTTAACCGGGTGTTGTTAAACAGAATAAAAGACTCCGTAAACACTCGTAATCGACAGGCTGGATTGTGTAAGGATTGATCATGTGAAAACTAAATCACGACACTATGGATCACTGTGAAATGGGATTCGCCACTGTACATCAAATTCATTGACAACGAGAAAGCATTTGATATTGTGGGACGGACCACGTTAGGGAGGCTTATTCCACACTACGGCATACCTGAGATGGATTAAACTGCAAAATCATTCATGGAGGACAGCTGACAGACTCGTTCGAAGTGAAGACCGTTATCAGGTAAGGTTGCTTACTCACGCTTTCTATTGATCGACCAGATTATGAAGACGTCAGCATCTGGGAGAAACTCAGGATACAGTGGACAGCTGGATGATCTAAACTTCGCAGATCACCTAGCTCCTCTGTCGCACACAATAACAAGTTCAGATGGAAACGGCCGGTGTAGCAGCAGCCTCAGTAGCTATAGGTCACAACATACACTAAAGGAAAAAGAAGACCCTTCGATAAAGCACAACATGCACCAACCTAGTCGCACTTGACGGTGAAGCTTTTGAAGATGTAAGACCCTTCATATATCTGGGCAGCATCACTGATGAACACGGTGGGTCTGATACAGATATGAAGTCGCTGATTAGCAAGGCAAAGGCAGCTTCTGTACAACTTAAGAACATCTGGAACTCAAAACGACTATCAACCAACACCAAATTTATAACTTTCAACACATGTCAAAACAGTTCTACCGTTAGGGGCGAAAACTTGGAAAACGACGAACGCCATCATCCAGAAAGTATAAGTGTTTATCAACAGGTATCTACGCCAAATACTTCTCATCCATTGCCCAGAAATCATCAGCAACAACCTATTGTTGGAGCGTAAAAAT